CCCTTGTTACTTAATCGCCGCAATTCACGTTCTCCGAGGCGAGAAAACGAAGGAAAACAAGAGAGGGCTCAACGCTCGAATCGCCATGACTTCGGGAAATGCATGTAAACGAAATGCTTTTAGAAGACTTCCAGCAAATTACGCGGAAGTGGCCCGGGGAATGTGTCGAAAGTACATGTCGTTCCACCAGAGAAATCCTACGGCTATTTCCGTCATGGTTGTCCCGACAATCCCCCCCTTGTTTCAAACACCCCCGCTGAAAGTCTCACGCGACACGTTCCAGCATAAGGGCTCTCATAAATATCATCCGATGCCTTTGGCCGCGGTTGTCGACGCTGTCGCGTCGGCGGACAGCCTCCTTGGTTCTCTAGGTGGGACCGCAGTGGAGACGCGCCATTTAGCTGATTAGGGTGTCAGGAAATAAAGAGGGGAGGGCTGTGGATAAATCGCCGACACGCATAACTCTCGCGGTACACCCAACGCGAATCGACCAGAAAATTATAGCGGTGAGATTTTCGGCACTAATCGACGCGGCGTTTCACTTCCGAGATCTCGATCGTTTAAGGAAAAGTTCTTCTTCTTCCTACGATAGGCGAGTAAGTAAGAGAGATTTTCACGGTGAAGAAGTGAAACTATGGCTGCAAGTTACCAGTTTGGTAGTTTAGAGAGTGTTTCCGCGGGAGCGGTTAGTAAACGATCGTTGTATTCTGTTTTAGACGCAACGACGGTGCCAGTTTCGCGGCAAAGAAACAGTAAGGTTTAATCATCTAAGATTAGGCTCGTTAAGTATGCGGCCGGGGCGGCTAGAGCTCTTCGAAACGATTTTCTTGCTTGTTTTCGCACGACTTCGAACGATTCCGTTGGTTATTAAAATGATCTAGTAATAGCGCACCGTGGAAATTCGGACGGAGAGGTACCAGAAACGATGCATAAAATAAGTAGTACGCTAAGACTTAATAAACAAGCTTAATTGACAATTTAAGCTCAGGCTGTGATCCAGAGAAACGTGCGTTTCATGTGTTAACGATATTGCTGATAAGTTGCGCGCCGGTTGGATTTTAAGCAAGTGGGTCAGAATAGTGTGTCACGAGGAAGAATAGAATTGTTTCGGAATCTCTGTATTCGCGTTTCGGTATAATACCGATTTTAGAAAACAAAAAGAATATTTAGAGAGTAATCTAATCGTACGATTTGCAATTAAAGAGGATCTTCTTGAGGATTATCTACCAAATTGTCGGCAAAACGAAATTTTTAGATTGCCAGAAAGACGGCGGTACTTTTGAAGTTACAATTCGTCGCGGTTATAGTTGGTGGAAGCGATGCAGCGAGGTCGTAAATTGAAGCATTAAGTAGAGACGCACGCAAGACCATTCGTTATTTGTGAATTGATATCTAAAATTTCCGCTTGTAAGAAATTTCCTGCTTGATAAAAATGAACTTGCAATTGTCGACGATTATGGCGCAAATTTTTTAAATATTGCAATTTCTGCTAATATTCTTCTTCGTGCAACTGAAAATGGAATTGCCCTGAGCAAAGTTCGAATTCCTTATCTCTCTCGAATTGCTGTTTTGTCGTTCAAACTACCAGTGCTTTAACACCTGACTGATTTTACTACCTCACTACGTATAATCCCTTCCACCGACTATTAATATTCTACTTTTATCAATTTTAAACGAAACATTTATTAAAATAACGAGTCACTGGTCATATACGTAGTGGGTCTTTTTTGACCCAAAGCCCTCAAGTTTACAGTCGAACGGAAAATTTCACTAAGGTTAAACGAAATATTTATTAAACTAAGTTTTCACAAAAATCTCAGAGGGTTGGTGAAACTGAATTTCTTTTGCAATAAGAAAAATAATATGAAATACAAATTTAAAAAAGTGTGACCAAAATCGAGAGAAAATATCTATCTTAGAACGCAGCAACTGTGCACGATAATTGAATACTTTCTTTCAACGCTCATGAGATCCTCGAACGACAGAATGATCCTTCGACGCCTAACTGATTTCACCATCCAACTCTATCCCTTCCACCGACTCTACACCGAGCGCAGATAGGTCGTACAACCGTTAGCGGCACCTCCGTCGAATCTCCGCAGGATCACGCGGATCAAGTTCGCCTGCATTCGATCACGTTAATAATACCCGGGAGAAACAGATGTCGACGACAAGCCGTAACGGCACCGGTCGCGTACAATGTATCAAACTGGCGTTAATGAGACATGTTCCAGCATACATACGCGCGCAGTAAGTGGCGCGTCTACAAAGTTGCGCGGCATCCTGCCGGGTGTATTCGTCTGCGGTGCACATTGTCGAGGAGGATTTATCAGTTATTGCCGCGTGTCGCGGCCAGTTATTGTCAGGGAAACGTACCGAGGATCGTAAAGATCACTCAGCCGGCGATCTTGAAATACAAATTTATCGCGCGTTGCTCGAGCCGCGATTGAGAACGCGTTTCACGCGGCCTTTTCTCTAAACCCGTGTGCAAATCCGCAGGAAGTGAACGTGGCCGAGGATCGTGGGTGTGCCACGTACGTGTGCCACAACGGTTGGCATCGAGCCAGCCCGCGTTTCTGGCCGCTTAAGCGAGAAAACGAGACAAGCATCGAACAGGGTCTCCCCGTCTTCGGGAGAGATCTCGCGAGTCTTGTCAATCGGTACAGTCGATCCGCTTTCACGCTTTGAACACCGACGGACAACCTGCGTGTACGTTAGTTCGGCGAAGATGATCAATACGGCTAATCAACTTGTACGCAGTGTCCCGTGAGTTTTCGTGTAAAATTTGCTGGCGTACTCTGCGAGCAAATGTGAGGGAAAATGTCGCATGAATGCTTCGTTAATAAGTTCAACGGGAACGCCGGTGGTAAGTATTGTAATTTATGGAAGCATCGAATTTGGCGATTTTTATTTTTCGCGTTGGTAAATAGATATGTTGTTTATTTGGTTCGGCTATGGGGAAGTTTTATCAAATTGCTATTGGGTCTTTCACGTTTTAACAAAGTGACTGTAAATCTAGGATAAGTGTTTTCAGCACACCCTATATATTTGTTCGAGAAAAATATGTGAGACTATTAAGACGATTATGTATGTTATTTGTAAACTTAATACCGTTAACAGTTAATATTACTAAAAAGAAAAATATTTTAGTGAAATTGATTGTGATAACTGGATTGTGCGAGAATTTGGATCCATCAACTAGTCGGTACATTTGAATTAATAAAATTACTTAATTTCTTAATTCCTTAATTTTTTTCACTTTTACAGTTCTCTAGGTTCGTAATACGATATTTGAGCCGAACATCTTGAGTACCATTGTGAAACTCCGCGGACTATTTAATTCGAAGGAGGAAAATGGCGTTCCAATTTCCGAGGATAGACGAGCGAACTGAGCAAGCAGAGAAATATGAGAATATCGTTGAATGAAATCAACGATGGCTCCCGTTGTTTCAACCTGACGTATCCGGAGGCTCTTGAGTGCTTTTCGGCACGAGGAATTCGTAAATATTTCGCTCACACGCTAAAATAAAGCGCCTCGCGGAGTGCGTCAGGTCTTGTAAGCCTTGCCGGCTGATTCACTGGTTGTTATATACGAAATTGAACACTCCATTCGATGAAGCAAATTCTACCGACAAATATTTCCATGGCTTCGTTCGAAATTTACCGAATATCACGGCATATTTTATACGATATAATTAATAAAGATCATTGAACAATATGTTAACAAATATAATTTGGAAATTTTCAAATTTGTATTAGCTTTTTCAGATACTAATTTTTCAATAAATTCGCGAGATAATTCCCTTCGTTACACTTCATTTAAGAAACAATACAATGCATTTGTTTAAACAACGACTGTGTGATTGAATAATATTGTTAAAAAGTTTCCATTGTTAATTTCATCCCATAAACCTGTCCTATTATATACTGTGCTTTGATAAATCTAACCTAACCTAACCTTTAAAGATCTTATTTAACAAGCCTACCCTGACCTAACCTTTAAACAGCTTGTAAAAATAAAAAAAAAATAGTTAGGTATTAGATAAAGCTATCAACGACTGCATTGGTGTTAAGTTATTTTAACGGTGCTTGAAATTTGCGTGAAAGAGAGAAACGTACTACATGGTACGTGATAAGGAATATTTCCATAAATTACGACGATAAATTTGCTTTTGGTGCCGTTTTATCTAGAGATTTACACAACGAGTCGTGCGTACACGCGACGTGCATGAGCACTTCAAGATCGAAGTAAGAAACGGATCAAGCCTATCTTATTTCAGGATATTGTGCTCTAACCACGAGTTAGATCGATCCCAGGAGGCTCTCTACCAAGCTTTGTGGAAATTACGACATCCTTAATGACGCAAAGATACGTTTGATCAATATTGCGACCCGTATTTTCGTTCTACTTAAATCTTGGCAGCCTATGCAGTGGCCATAAATGCAATGCAAGGGATCTGTCAAAGTAAAGTTGCACGCGATTCAACCATATTACGTCTATACGTTACAAGAATACATATATGTATACATGTTTATTCCTACAAACTCTAATCGAATTTGAACGACCGTGACTGTGCAAACGTCATTTGTAGTAAATACACGAGTACGATAAGAGGTTATGTTTCTCGTAGGAGAAACCCATATCTAGTAAAAGGTAAACAATATTATGAAAAATATGGAAAGTGCGTAGATTGAAATATCGAATATCCAGTTTATTTTTCTACGTAGTAATTAATACGTTTCTTGGAATTACTCACGTGTGTATCGATCACGCAGTAAATTCTGTAGACGATAGATGAACCTTTGTCCTGATGAAGCTCTCCTTTGTATACATCGATAAAAGTTTCGAAAGTTTAAATGGCGTCGTTAGGCGCGCAATAAGGATGCACTTGAAGCGCCATCTGGAGTCGTTGCTTCCGCTATCGAGCAGCAGTAGAATGGCAGTTGCGCGCAAAAGTCTGTTTATTTACGTGCTGTCGATGATTAATTGATCGCGAAGTCGCGTCCACGAGCGGTATCTGATGAGTGAGTTCCGTAATAGCGGTATTGAAATGGTGCACGCGTGAAATATTGTAAATACAAGAACGGATTTAAAAGAGAAACGCAGTGAATGTTGTTGAGGAATTCAGCCTGTCGTCATCATCGTTCTAACCTATTTCACGAAACATTGTATTCTTCATTCTGGAATTTTCCGACGCGCTGCCAACGTTTGTTTGCCAACAGTGATTCGGCATGATGCCATGTTCCCGCAAACACTGAGCACAGAACCATGCAAAATTATTAGCATGGCTGACGAAGTATTGCCGGCGAGTTTGGAGAAGCTCGAAATTGATCGTCTCTCCTCGAGCTGTCCTCAGTAAGCATTTACCGCCGAAAGCTCATTTAAAGCGCCTGCTCCTCACAACCGTCCCTTTCCATTCCCTCGAACATTCTGAATCCCCGGTGAGCCCGTTCGATGTATCGGATCGTAGCAGTTTTGCGACTCAACCCCTTTTCACGCGCGGTCAAGGTCTTCGGCTAACGTTACCTCATTTTGCAAACTACGTGACGATTTCTGTTTACGTTGCACGTGTTTTTGATTTATTAATGATGCAAGCGCTCGTGAACACACATTTCAACAATCGTCATTTCTTATTCTTAATGGTGCAAAATAACAACATTCAGTGTGATCTGTAAGCAAACCGATATGTTTACATATTATGAACAAGCTTAAAAGGCGTCGTAACGTTATCTACGTTCACGAAATGTTGTTCATGAATAATTTGCGCGTTAATACGATCGAGAAACCGAAATAGAATACAAGTGAAGTGTAAAAAAATTGATGTTACGAGTTCAAATGTGTCAGTGTGAACAAAATGTTTTTTTAACATAGTTTAATTGAATTAATGTCATACTTTGCATAGTTCTAATATGAATTCATTTAGTCGGACGCTGTTGCATAAGCGTCAAAAGAATAGACATTTACCAATATTTGATTCAAGGTTATGTGCCAAGAATGATGAATCATCACTAGATGATTTTTAATCATTCGTTTGTTAACGGTCGAATAATATTTTTAAATTTCGTTTTCAACTAAATTCTATCTAATTTTAATTGTGGAATACAACTTTGTAAAGAAATATCTGTTATTTCTGATCATTGTGTTTACTTAAAGTAGTTTGTCAACACTACTTTCTATTGTTTCAGTATTACACCTACTGACAAAGCAAAGTCAACAAATCCATTCAGAACAACAACTAAAAGTGTCAATTCTGACTGCAGTCATTTGTTTCAAAGGAGATCAATGCCTATTAGGCCAACATTAAATACAATCAGCTCCAGAGGCGTAAAGAGCACAACGAATTTCAAACCATCAAAAAATGAAAGAGTACTTGATAAAAATAAGAAAAACTCAATAATCAAAGAGGCTGTTTTAAAATTAAATGATACTGGCACTAACTGTCTTAGTGATAATCTAGAGAATACGTTGCTTAAAGAAACATGTAAATTTAGTATTTGTGGTAAAAATTCAAAGATTTTTGGCCATGGTTCGGTCACAAAGGACTTTAAAGCACTAAATATTAGTCAAGATTCTAGACAAGCTAAGGACGATACCAGCATTCAAGATAATTACCAAGCTAGTAGCTTTCAACGGGCACGTAGTAATACGATGCCAAGTTTGAAAAGAGGACCTGGCCCAGGTGGAGGCAATAACAGTCAATCAGAAACACCTAGTTCAACTGGTCAGCCTTCGAGTTCAAATACATGTTCAGTACAAGCACGAATATCTCCACCTTCGTGTGATGTCACTATTGACGAGCTTGCCAGCTACTTCGAGGAGTTTGTTCATATTCCAAAGAAGATGTCACATATGGCAGAAATGATGTATATTTAACTATAATATATTGAATTATAACAGACAGATTTCTTATACAGTTTTTCAAAGACTAGAATGCAACGTTTATGCATGGTCACAAGTCTAAATGCTGTATGTTTGCTACGAATCCAATTTAATTTGGTACCTAAATTATACATAATATAGAATAAAAAATAAAAAATTTGAAAATTCTGCATTTTTGTAGAGAAAAAGAGTATTAAAAATGATTGAATTGAACTATCATTTTAGTGATAAATATAAAAAAAAAGAGGGTAAAAATCATGAAGATAATAAAATAAGATGTACATTTGTTTTCTAAAATTATTTGTGTCAAACTACTTCATTTAGTTTCTAATGGAGAAGATTTAATGTCTTTCTTCATAAAATTTTTGTATCGCGAAATGAAGCATTGGTACTAGAATAAATTTCTTGAAACTAACATATTGTATTATTAAAACTCCCAACCTCCTACTACACGTATGTGGACAAAAAATAATATTGTGTCAAGTGGATAAAATATATATAAATATCATTTGACACTCTTTTGTTAATATGATACATAATATATTTATCTGCATAGGCTTATGGTACTTAATACAATGATACAAATTAACCGTTAAATTACTTAATGATAATAAGCTTTGGTACGTAAACAATGACAATATATTGATCCGTTTTTACTTTAGGTTGTTATATGTGGGTAAGTACAGATATCCAAAATAATAAGAATATTACTCAATTTACATATTAGAACACTTCACTACTATCATGTACCAGAAAACTTAACCTGCTTTAAGGTTAGAATATAACTATTTGGTTTATCGTCAGGGTTAAATCACACGTTCTCTTATTTACGTTGCACAACAAAATGATTACACTAAAAATTTGTTTCCTTTTATCGATAATTATGTACGAAATTACTCTATATTGCACTTAAGAGCTACATTCTATATAAAATTGAACTAAAGCAAGATAGCAGCGAGAACTAATATGCATATCAACTAACGAAATTATTATTCGAAGTGTTTGTACTTGTCCACATGCAACAAGGTACGCGGGAACCATGTTGACGCGCGGTGTACTGTGAAAATCTTGACGAAAGCCTAAATGCATTAAAAAATATCCATCTATTTGGTGTGCGCATCACGTGACTGTTTTCATTTTTAACATCTACGAATGGTTATTAAGCAGATTTCTGACACGTTAATTTCGTTGGTAGCCCCGCGCAATACTCAAACTCTGTATCAAAACATGAGGTCTGTCACTATATCACAGATTTATTAAAATTTCATTTGATCGGAGCCACAACGAAACGAATTTTCAAAATAGAGAAATCAAACTTTCTTTCGAAAGGATGCACCTCACAATTACGGACATAGGTTACGAATCATACAAAAATGTAAACTATCATTTTGTGTCATACTCGAAACTTGTCTCCAAGCCGAGAGACGCAGTTTTTAAACAAGCATTGTAACGTGTTTTACATTCTAACGGTAAAAGAGAGTTTTGTGGTGAAAAATCTGTGAACTAAGCACTCTAATTTACAATTGCAAGATACGCCAAAGCTGTTACGATTTTACCAACGATAAGGTCAAAGCAGTAAATATAACTACTTGATAAGAACAATAATAAAAATAGAATTAGAGTTATAAAGAGCTACTCTCGATTGATAATAGTTGACAAACATTAATAAGCTACAAAAAATTTAGCTTAAATCATTTTAACTTTATAACCTTAATATCCTATGTTTGTCCGTGGCAATGAATGGTCGAAAAATGTTAAAAAATCGATAGTCTTGTATTATCGTGTAAACCAACTAGAACATTGAGTATACTTCAGACTGCCGAAAGAGCACAATGACGATAGCTTTATTGCATTCGTAGTGGTTTCATTAAAAATAGGAACACCTAACATTGTAATCAATTTGAAATACACAGCGTCTCCCGACCAGAATTCGATTTCGAACGTATCTCGTGAAATACGTTGATGTGAATTTTCGATTGTTTTCGTTTCATAAAAGAATGCATCGAAATCTATTATCCGAAATGCAATAAAAAGATTGTGCTTGCTCGAAATTCTTATTCAAAGGTTGACAAAACGAAGAATAATAACACACGTATAAAATAGGAACAGTTTCTGAACTACAGCCAAATTGTGCCTTTTGTACTAACGTCATACGAAAACACGAAATTTCAATTACGCATGTATATAAAATCCGATATCCGTGTGAGAAATTTTGTCGGAGCACAGTGATCAAATACAAACTCGAATGTGGTTGTTGTTGTTGTTCTCTGTTCTTTTTCTAACACAATATCAGTCTCTAGGTCAAGTGGAAAGGCCACATGATGCCCTTACCAGTATTTTATAACATTTAAATATACTACTCTCTTCGTCTTGTTCGGATGAAATGATGTACAATGCGACAGTGTGACCCATTCAATATGGAGAAAAATCAAACGTATTTACTTTTCTATCCATGATGGACATGTGTTCCACCGTCCGACGAATAATCGTATTCGTGCATGATTGTATTTCATACCTCTACGAACTATGGCGACAACATGATCGTTAGCAAAAAACCTCGAATGACCCATTCTCCATGAGAAACGCAACAACATTTTGATCGGTATAAAATGCTCATAGAAAAAGTTTTTTTACTGGACGTAATACAGCTACCTTTCTAACTCTACGTAAACATGATGCTTTTTCACGTGCATTCACCGCATCATACTATATAAAATAAATTAGTCAACTCACACAATGAAGGTATGGTGTTTTGCCTCGCTAATTATAGTAAAAAACATTAGATTATCGGTATACTATATGTAATGCGGCAATATAATGTCGAGTTCGCGACGTGTCCCGGTAAACGTAAGCCGTAAAAAGATGTTCCCGACAGCAGAGTCAGATATTACCGATCGGTAATATCGACGATTATCGGAACAGATTAGTAGCTGCTTTGTCTAGACGTTTCGTGCGCTGCAGTTCGTTTCTATGAAAACGTAACGGTTTCTTTTCTATTGAGCAATGGTTACGGGCCGTATTATGAGGAGCACGACATTTTATTGCTCGTTTTTACTTTACTGTCACGGCAAGATGCGCGTGAAAAAAATACCACACATACACAGGTGTAACAATTCACGACAGTCACGTACATAATCTCTCTCTCTCTCTCTATCTATCGTATCTCTCTTTCTCTCTTGCACTCTTTCACACTTCCCTTATCACTCGTTTATCATCATTTTCTCTCGCACTTTTTTTCCCTTAACTTTTTATTTATCCTTTTCTTGTAGTTTCTTATTCGTTTAAATGTTTTAATATCTAAAGTGTCATAATGGCTCATCTTGCTTTTATCGTGACATAATTCAGTGTACGTCTAGGGACTTACGTCTAACGATACGTTCCACGTGGGGGACGACCATGACGAGACAACGATACATGTCCTCGGAATTGAAACCCTCTCTCTCTCTCTCTCTCTTTCTTTCTGGGAAAATTTCTTGTACAACAGAATTACAAAAAGAAAAAGAAAAAAGAAGATGAATTCTCAGGTGTTTCACATCCCGAGGAGATTTACACATACCTCACGGCCTACCGCCTAAACTCTATCCTAATCTGTCGTTTTTTGTATGTTTAGTAGAAAATTTACAATTTTTCAGACACTTTGTACGAGCAACATCGATGACTTAAATCATTTACCTCAAGTAGTATTTTCTAGTTTCTTCTTATTTTTTTTTTTCTTTTCCGTTTTTCAATAGATTTATGCAGTTTCAAAAAAGTGTTGCCTATTTCGTGAGAACACACACAGTCGTATAACGTACGTTTTCTTTTGTATTTTTTCTTTTTTTTTTTTTCTTCTTATTAGTAACTTCTTCTTACTCTTGTTTATGTCGAATTTCAAAAGTAAAGAAAAAAGAAAAAGAGACAGCTAAATTAAAACGACGACGAGATCCGTCGTAGAACAGGTATTTCTCAGTTTGTAAGGATGCGATCACAGTAAAAAAAAAAAAGAAGATAATACGCATGTCGGAGAAAGAAACGTGGAGTTTTCGAATCCGTGTATTTGGAATATATACATATACATGTATATATATATATATGTGTATGTATATATATATATACATATATACTGTTCACAGAACAAAAATACATCGAAAAGGTTTTATCATTCACATATAAAACGTATTTAATCTCTCGTATAAAATATTGTCCTACTCGACGTATCGTTCGTAAATCAGACGAAAAACTCGTTTACTCCTAGTTTACATATTTTAATAGAATCTGATTGTGTCCTAACGCAGACTTGTGCAATCGATAAACTGTTCGATGCAGAGAACTGTGCATCCGGATTTTCAAGGACTGAATCCAACGGAACGAAGACAAAGAAAAAGGGAAAGAAAAATAGAGAAAACAAATATATATATCAGTCGCGATCGATTCGAGATCAATGAAGTGGAATTGCGCGCTCGGATCTACATGAACGGCGCGAACTTCTTCCGTTTCATCTGCGCTGTAATCATCATCATACATTCACGGACTAATATAAATCGGTTACATCGTCTACCATTTAAAATTCTACTTTTTAGCTCTCAACTGGTTCCGTATCTACCCTCTAAACACTGTTTTTTTTTTTCCTTTTCTGTAAGATACCATCGTCAATTATTTTTTTCTTTTCTTTAATATACTCTCCAAATTGTGAAAATGCTTAATAAATAGCTCGAACGATGAACGATTCCATTGTTTAAATTCTATAATAAGATACTGGATACGTAGCGGGTAGAGAGATTCTATACTCTTAATTTTCAGTCGTTAACGTTTGACTCGATATTAGTCGGCAGTTATTCACGATTGGTCACAAAGGTTCCAAGTCTTGGGGAAAAAAATACCCTTTCAAGTGTGAACAAGACTCGCTTTCTTCTTCTTCTTTTTTTTTTCATTTTTTCTTTTTTTTTTTTTTTTTATACACAAACTCTGTTGAACGATCTTGACGAACGATGTTTCCGAAACAAATATTAATCTCGTTCTTAAATAAATATATATACGTCGCTATCACCGTGGAATTTTTGGCAGCGTTTAACAACGATTGCTCGATGAAATCTGGTAACAGTTTACAAAAATTCTCGCCACCAAGTGTCACTTACAAAATTTTCTCGTTTTCCGCCGCACCGTTCGGTGCGTATTCTCTCTTTTTTTTTTTTTTTTCGTTTCTCTTGGTTGTCCTTTCTTTCGGTTTCTTTTCTCTTTTCGTTTCTTTTCTTTTCTTTTGTAAATCCATTGTTAGCGCAGAAAATCTGCGGATGATATAAAAAAACAACACGGTAACAGCGTCTCCAGATGATCGCCGGAGATCCCTAGCAATAAATACCATAAAACTCCATGGCACAGTTAATGTGCGCTGGGTGAAAATGACCGTGCGGCACCAGGTGACTCGGCATGTGAGCTGTGTATCAGTCCGTTGGCGGTTCCAGATACGGTATTTCGCTAGTGACGTTAAATGACTCGAAATAGTGATTAAGGAACTCGAACGTTGGTCGCTTCTCAGGGCTAGCATCCCAGCATTGCAACATCAATCGATAAATACTGTCCGGCAGCGGATGGTCTACTGGTTTAGGCATTCGATAGCCTTTTTTCACTTGATCGATTACCTCGCGACCGTGCATACCTGCAAAATAGAACAGAACCATTGAAGAAAATTAACTGGCTGGTCTGGACACACTGTTGTCGAGAAGAACTCGAGATTTTGTTCGGTTAAAGCGTTAAACTGTCGTACGACATCCGTGGAAGGCGCAATAGCTGACTAATACATCGACTGCCGATTTAAACGCAGATTAAAAAATGAAGCGTACGAAATGTTAGTTTCTGTCAAGTATTATCTTTCACTTGTTGAATGGAAAAATACTTTTGTTCTTCGAGGGTAATATAGTAAAGCCCTCGTGAAAAGTTTTCTAAAAAATGCCACAGTTAGGTATCATTTTTAGTCCCGAGGGATGGTCTAACCCCTTGAAACTCGATTAAAAAAATAAATAAGTAAATCAGATAGTTGAAGAAAAGTTTCCTATAGAGACAATTATTTTCTTTAAAAAAATGCCACAGTTAGGTGTCATTTTTAGTCCTCAGGAGTGGTCTAACCCCTTGAAACTGAATTTAAAAAACAAATAAATGAGATAACTGAAGAAAAGTTTAATAAATGAGAGAACTGAAGAAAAGTTTTCTATCGGGGCAATTATTTTTTTAAAAACAAAAATGCCACAGTTAGGTATCATTTTTAGTCCTCGAGGGCTGGTCTAACCCCTTAAAACTCAATTGAAATGAATTACAGAGATAGCAGAAGAGAGTTAAGAAGAATGCACGAGAGTTACCAGGATAAGGAACTTGGCCGTAAGTGAATAGCTCCATCAGCAAGACACCGTAAGACCAAACGTCGCTCTTGATGCTGAATCTGCCATAGACACTGGCTTCCGGTGCTGTCCATCTAACAGGGAATCTGCTTCCCTGTTTAGGACAATACTCGTCGTCTTCGATCGCCCTGGCTAGACCGAAGTCGCATATCTTCGCTTTATACTTCTCCCCGATTAACACGTTCCTAGCCGCTAGATCTCTGTGTATCAACTGTTTACTCTCCAGGTGTTCCATACCGGAGGCCACCTGCGCCGCGATATAAATCAGATCCTCGAACTGCATGTATCTACCGTCCCCTGTCCTCAGGAAGTCCAGCAAACTGCCGTTGCACATATACTCCTGTACGATGTAAATTGGCTCCTCCTTGGAGCAGATCGCGTACAACGCGACCAAATGTCTGTGCCGAAACTGTTTCATGATAGCTGCCTCCTGTAGGAATGCTTCCGTCGACATGGTCCCTGGTCGTAACGTCTTCACAGCCACTTCGATTTTGTTCCTCCATTTACCGTAGTACACCTCGCCGAAATTACCATGGCCCAGTTTACGTATCAGCTGTATCTCGTTCCGATTGATCTCCCATTTGTCTCGCAACTCCGGTCCAAGATCCCACATGTCCGGTTGCGGTTTCGGACACGGCTTCGAGAGCACGTGACAGAGACCTAACGCGTTCTCTGGAATATTCGAGCGAACGAATTACACATGTACCGTTGACGTTTCGTTTCAACCAAGTTTCAGATCGAGAGTGGTGTTTTTTTTTTTTGTCGAACTTACTGCTGTACGCCATAACGAGAGCCGGTAGCGTGGGGAATGTCTGGTTGGTGGCGATAAAGAAGCCTCCGTTGTCGAGAGGTTTAATTTTATAGTGTTTTACATGATGACCCCTTCCCTCCTCCCAGTCTTTCACAGATAAACTGTATCCCCTGGGATTGTGCTCGCTAGGTCTCACCAGGAACGTACCTCGGGGGTTTTCATCCACCAGGAGAAGCTTGCCGGCCTCTTTGCGCGAGACATTTTCGAAAAACCAACTGAAGAAGAAAGAGGAAGTCGATGTAATTTTTCGGTTTTAGTTCGTCAAATGTATATACAGGGTGATTCGAGGAAAACAATCGTCGAGCAGAATTTTGCATTGTTTAGAAAGATCTGGAATCCTATTTTCCTCGCGAAGTGATATTGCACCTTTTCTAACCCTTTAGCTACGAAGAGCGTATTTACTGCATTTATTTTCGCCGTCGAGTGAAAGTTAAGCGACACCGGAACGCACCAGACATCTCGCTATCACGAAACAGTCGATTTTCAATCGTATCTTCATTTTTATGCCACCGTTGAATAACAACTGTTTCGTCCAGCATACACGACGAGCTCTTTTCCTCTCAAGCCCGTCGTAACGAAAGGGTTGACAGAACTTATATTTTCTTTTTACACAGGTATACCATAGAAAAATCAATATTCCCTGGCACATTTCAAATTTTCCAACCTGTGACGTGGAAATGTCCCAAAATTTCAAATATCTCACGAGGTGTCGATTTTTCTAACATGTAAACAAACGAGTTTTTCGAATTTTCGTTTGAGAGAAAAATGCAACTGCACTTAGCGAGAAAAAAGAATCGTTGACCGATGAAAATTTAGAGCAGAGCTCGTAAGCTCTGGGTCCGGACGCTAGAATCGCCCTGTATACGTGAAGAATTAATTGGAACGTGGAAGCTCACTCTTCGCTCTCGACCGAACGCTCGACGGCCACAAAGTTCCAAGGAATGAGGCCCTCTTGCAAAGTTGTCAAGTGTAAAACCTTCCACCAGTCCGGTTCGGAGTCGTCCAATACTTCCATTCGGTCGCCCTTTACGAAACTGACATCGGTGCTCTCGCGCGCGGTGTAATTGTACAGGGCGACCACGATCTTGTTCGACCGCTGAGAATGCGCTGTTTCGGGGAACAAACGAACTTTCACGTCCAAGCCAAATCAAGGGCTAATTTAAGGTGAGCCCCTAATTTTGCCATCGACGACGGTGTATGTATACCGGTTGCTCGCGATTCGACTATTTGCGGTCGTAGTAGAAACTGATAGAATATCGATCGACCGATATACCGCCACGCACCGACGGAACGTTTGAATTATCGGCGATATAAACAGAATCATTACCGGTGATTACTCTCTGTTCGATGGTAGTTGCAGCGAATATAGAATAATTTCTGCAGTTGCATCGTGGAGAGGTTGAAGTATTAGGTTGGTGCAGGTGAAACGTGGTTTTTTCTAAGTGAAACTTTAGATAGGTTGTGTTTTTTGAAAAAATAATAGATTTTCAAATAATATTTTTCTCCAAGGTTGACTAATTTCATTTGTCCAAATTTGTAAGGCTTTGAATGCTGTCTTCACATGGCTTTTATATCAAAATAATTAACTAGTCTCATTTTTTCAAATTTGTAAGAATCGTTAGTTTTTGAATGAAAAAATTCTCCGAATGCTACTTTTACAGTGTTTTCATATGAAAATAACGAACTAGTTTCGTTATTCCAAATTTGCAAGGATTACGAGTCTGAATGAGGAAATTCTTCGAATCTCATATTTCCAAACTTATAAGAATCCTTAATCCTTGAATGAAAAAATTCTCCAAATGCTGTGTCTTCATTTTGGGATAATTTATTTATGAAAGAAAATGTTCAGGTGTTTTAAGAAATGCAGTTTGTCGAGAAAAGGTCGAGCGAGTAGAAGAGAATCTAGCAAAATTTCATATTCCTTACCGTAAATTGTTTTCAATAATTTCTCTTAAGACTTTATCACCGACGATCTTATCTGGCTTTCCTCTTAGCTTCCACCGAAAAGTCGCCAATATTAAATTCTGCACACCAACGTTGAACTATCCTAACATTTACATAATCCTCTTCAAATGATAAATTCATAATCGCACCATTTTTCAGGACACTTTTCCCAATTTTAAACTTCCATAAATAAATTACTCGAATATCCCAATGATTCATCACCTCAGATAATAAAGTCCAACCAATTGCATTGTAAATTTTATCCTATTCGATTTACCACCTTTTGACTACTGCGTGCAAAAATTTACGATCGAATAAAATTTAATACACGACGTCGACCAATTTCATCTGTTGGAAAAACAAATTTCATCTGCGCCAACCTGACACTTTCAATCTTTCGTTAAAAAAACAGTATTTTCGAATCTCTTCAAAATTAACCCCTTAAGCTGTGAATCTTACTTAAACAAACAGAAACGAACGTAACAAATCTTATCGATCTCACATGGAAGATCGACGAAAACGAATCGTAAGCTTAGAAGCTGGAAGCTTGACAGCGAAAACTTAAACTAAAATTGGCTATTCTACGAAATGAAATAAAAGAACATAAAATACACACATGCAGGCTTAACAACAGGCGAGCTTGTTTTACGGGGTTGATGCGGAATCTGTAGCTTACAAGGTGTCGGCCTCGGTCGAATGATGTCCGCTCTCGCTTGTACACCCCTCTGATTCGGGTCAGCAGTGTACCGGTCCAAGGAACCTCCATTACTGTGTTTCGAGCTTAGCCCTGTGTCTGCTTTCTTGTAACCTGGATAACCGAGCGAACATTTGTAGCCGAAAACCGTGATAAATGGCCACCTGCGCGGACGTGGATTTAGGCGAAAATTTACCCGAGGACGAGAATTATAAGTAGAAAAAGTGTGCTTCCAGTTCAGCAAAGTGTAATTTAATAGTTTTCTTGGTTCCTCGGAGTGAAATACTTTGATTTTCAAAGCTGTGCGTTTAAAGGGATACACCACATCGAGGCTTCTAGAAATCCTCCATTTTGTAAAATTTTTACCTTTTAAAAATTGGAGAAGAAAGATTAAAGTCACGTTTATATCCTCTGAAAAAAATTGGAATTTTTCGTCGAGTAGTTATCCGTGAAAAAAATTCCCAAACTTTTAGCTATTTTTAGGAGATTTGGGGTGGTGTAGCCCTTTAACTTTTTGCTGTAACTTTTTTGTGTTCTTATGTATTAGATTCAAACTGAGTCAGATTAACGTCAGAAAAGTTTGTTATCAATTATTGGACAATACGAAAGTACTTTACAGTAATCTAATTAAAACATAAAGGAAAGTATCTATAAATCAACAAGTTTCCACCTTGCTATCGATTGCACAGACAAATTCTATCACTTAAAAGCAATCGAAACAGAATTAACTTTCCAACTCTCCCAGAATTACCTCCACCACAAAAATACGCGACTAAGTGAAAATATCATATCCCCCAAAAATTTCTCCTACATTTCGCAGACGGTAATTAACGTAATTCGCCGTAATTAAACAATTTCTTCATTTCCCCGAATCTCATCCTCGTCTCGAAATTTTCACTCCGTTTTATTACATCCAACCACGCCGACGGGCGTGTCCATTGAAAAGTTTCAAAGAAACGCTTGAGAAGGAATAAAAGAAAAACAGAAAGAGGGGGAGGAGGAAAAAACGTGAGCAGAAGTTGTAAAAGAAAACTCATCGCGGTTCCACTATAAAGTAGCGAGAGAAAAAAGGAGAGGAACAGAACGCAAGACCGAGCTATGTTACTTACCAAGGGGTTGAGGCTCTTGCCGCTTGCTACAACACTTGCCCATCTTGGATCTGGTGGTGGCGGCTCGATCGTTCTCCTTTCGATCCTGATTCTACGCTCCTTCTATACTGATGCGTACCCCGAGCAAAGTCTCCATCTCGTGAACTCGAGTCCGTACGGCGGAGGCTTCCGTTTCGATTTTTAGCATCACTTTCTTCTCTCCATCGCGTGTTTATTGAATCCGCGCACCTGCAAGGTGAACCACACGTATTCAGCATGAGATTCTTCCACGCGGCTATTACGACACCGCGACTTTTCACAGGCGGCAGGATGGCGTTGTTATAATTCGCGGTCAAGGAAATTGACTCGTTCAGCCGTGGAAAATGACTGGGGGATTTGTATTAGGTTTGCTGGAATTCAGCCGTGGCTCGACTATTTTGCGTTTGTGTTTCTTTTCTCTGTCAGATTTGGGGTGGAAGGTTTTGTGGATGATTTTGTCGATACGTTTCTGTCGGACAGTGTGAAATTTTGTAATTTTATCGGTTTGGTTCGGGATAAATAAGATTTAGCTGTTTTATAGTTCTACTCTGGGCTCCAGAGGAAAGTGAGGACTGTTAATTGAGTGGGAAAATTACAGTGGGGCATTTAATTGGGGAAGGTGGTAGCAGGTTGATCTTTAATAGAATATTGAAGAACAGTTTTATTTGTCGATAGAATTTTTTGCTGATTTGCGTAACATATCTATTTTAATTTGTATTCAAAATCTGTGTCACACATCTACTTTAATTTACATTAAGAATTAGTGCAATATGTCTGGAGTCTACTTAGGCGACAACTTAAAAGTGGTTGAAAATGAAAAGGAACAGCTCGGTTACCATAATACAACTAATTCAATGCCCCAATTGTTAAACAAGAATTTTTATCCGCACAAAATGTCTCAAAAACTTCAACACATAATTGAAATAGCACAAACTACTTTATATTAATACCAAGAAAGCGAAATCGTCGAAATCTGACAAACTGCTCCAGAAGTTAACGGAAAGTTAGCCGTTCGGATTAAAGTAGTCCCGTTTTATTATCCACACGAGTGCCACGAAAACGAACAAACTTTCCGACAGAGCTAATATTTCGAACGGTTTTATGAAACTGTTTTCTCCACGGTTCCACCGGTTGGATCATCGATCAACGCTGTATTTAAAGAAGACTTAGGGCGTCCGCGTTTTCTTCCCTCCCCTTTTTCCTACGGTCGTGCATCTTCTTCAGGGACCTCCGTTTGTTCGTTTTCTGTGCGAGACAAATCAGGCATGCGGCCTGTGTTTCCGAGTAACACCGCTAAGTTAGAATGAACATAATGGAAAGAGTCGAGGAACGCTAACTAGCCGATTCTTCTCATTCATAGACGCTTTTAACATTCTTCGGAGAGAAATGGTCGTCCTCGTTCGCTTAACGAACAATTAGAGTTTCTACGTAAGGGACGGAGACTTTGCTATTTTAATACAAAGCGGGTGCGGTTGAGAAAATAGTGAGAAAATATCTTACAAGAAAATATTGTATTGTAAGTAAATTTTTAATCAAGGACTGGGTAATACTGCTGGGCAATAGATTTTGGGACGCAAACATATTTTTTCACATTTCCATTCCATTTTGGAACACTTAGGGAGGAAACCTGTTTATTGACTTATACGAAAGAATTTTTTGCATTTCAGAAATATTATTACATAGTTACTTAGTTTCATCCTACTGTGCCTATGATCATCATTTCACATTGAAAATAATATCGTTCTTTGACCCATTTCTAACGTCCCAGCAGAGGCTACAAGTTCCACACGACCTGTTAATTATCTCCATGAATTAATTACCGATGTCGAACCTCGAAAATATTGCACTTAGTTTCATCCTACCATGCCTACGATCATCATTTTCTTAGAATTTCACATTGAAAAAGCTATAATTCATTGACCCGTTTCTAATGTCCCAGCAGAGGCCTGTTAATCATCTCCATAAATTAATTACCAATATCAAACCTCGAAGCTTTTGCATCTCAAAAATGTCATTACACTCAGTTTTATCCTAGCATGCCTACGATCATCATTTTCTTAGAATTTCACATTGAAAAAGCTATAATTCATTGACCCGTTTCTAATGTCCCAGCAGAGGCCTGTTAATCATCTCCATAAATTAATTACCAATATCAAACCTCGAAGCTTTTGCATCTCAAAAATGTCATTACACTCAGTTTTATCCTAGCATGCCTACGATCACCATTCTCTTAGAATTTCACATTGAAAAAGCTATAATTCTTTGACCCGTTTCTAATGTCCCAGCAGGGGTCTGTTAATTATCTCCATAAATGAATTACCAAATGGAAATTTTTGCATTCAATTTACTACGCCTAGGATCGTAATTTCCTTAGAATGTCACATTGACAAAACTACAATTCTTTGACCCGTTTCGAATGTCCCATCAGAGGCTACAAGTTCCACGCGACCTGTTAATTATCTCCGTGAATTAACCGGCAGTATGAAACTTCGAAGCGAAGCCGAGGCTTGTTCAAGCCTGAAACCGTAAATACACACTCGGCATATGTAAACTCGAGCTAGAAGGGATGCACGTTTTTCCCTGCTGCCTCCGATCCTCGGGGACCTCCCAGAAAACAAGGAGAAACAACGCGACGTGACGTCGTCCCCCCTCATTCGCGTTTCTTCCCCGATAGATGCAATCGTTTCGGCGCAGGAAAAGCTGCGAGCAACAGGAATAAATAAACTTAGAAAGCGCCCAGAGGATTCGTTTAGCGGGATATGACGATGCTTCCTGTCGTCTACGACACACCATTACCGCTTTCCTCTCCACTCTCTCCGTGTAATTACGAAGTCGCGAATTCAAAGTTTCCACGGCGGCTTGTTACACGGTTGTAAATCAACTTTTCCAACTTTTCATTCGTCCCAGCTTCCGCCGGTGGGAGTTCGCCTGTGGGACGCGATCCTAATTTACCGGGGCTAAATTGCCCGCGATAAGAGTGCCGTTCGTTGAAAAGGGCTCGCGTACGAAATATTAATAGTCGTTGGAATGTGTGTCAAGGTATGAAAATAGAGGGTACGTCCTATTTAATTCCCTTACGATTTTACTTTTCATAGGTATTCGTGAAATTCGAGTGTTTTATTACGCTTGTCAGTTCTCGTTTCGCCCCTGTTTTTCATACAATAAACATTTCGTAGATGTTTTTTAATCTGCTGCTTAATTAGCATGCTTAATTACCGCTTTCTAGCTTAATGGGTGTTTTAATGTTTTTGGTTCTTTTCGGAGATTTCAGAAGGTAGGCAAGGTATGAACTTTTGCTGTGTGTACTTTAGTTTTAATGGAGTGTGATGAAGACGTTTGAGAGACGAATTATTGCCGCTTACTAACGCTGTTTTATAAGTGCAATTAAGTTTCTAGCTTAATGGCTATTTTAATGTCCACTTTTTCCTTTTTACGGTTCCAAGAAACAGCTGAGCTGAAATTTTGCTCTGCGTGTACAGTTCAATTTTGATACGGTTTGATTAAAAATTATCGTCGCCTATTAAGAAGGTACACCACTCTCAGGTGTCAAAAAATAAACAAAGTTTGGGAATTTTTTTCATAAGTAACTACTGCCTGGAACGCTTCAATTTTTTCAGAGGATATATACGTAACTTTCAACTTTCTCCTCGAATTTTTAGAAAACAAAACCGTTACAAAATGTACCCTGCATAAAATACGAAGAGTTAAAGAGAGAAATTGATCGAATTACTTTGAAAGTCTTGATAAATTATTAAATGCAATACAGTACGTTTAAATAATTACTGTTTACAGTTTCAACCACATCGTAATCTCCCAGAAAACGTCACGAAAGCACACGAAATCCAAGATAAACTATATGTAACATTTCCTCGAAAAATCTCCATCGGATAAAATCAACATCTGTTAATTAAAGCAACTTGCTTGGTATCAAGAAACCTGGAGAAAGAGAGAGAGAGCAACTCTATATTGCTGCAAAGGAGGTTGCATTATCACCGAAAGATACGACTGACGAGCCCTTTGCCAATTCGCGTGTCAACTTCTGCAAAAGCGGTGCTCGCGAGAATTCAATCGGCGCCGATCTAAATATTTACGAGGTCCTGTACCCGTTTCTCTACATACTCTCTTACCCAGCAATGTTTCGAGACTCGCAGCTACCAGTGTGCGTTTAATATCCCGTCTGGAACGAAATTTCCTCGCGTGTCCCGTGTATTCCAGCCACGTTTCGCCTCGTGATTTTCGTTCTCCTGTATATATATATATATGTCGTGTCGTCGTCGTCCTCCCGGAAATGCACACCACTTTCGATGACCGATAAACAAATTACGGCCGCGGCGGAAGCGTAGAGCAATGAAATGACCGGTTAAAAGGAACGTCGGAGGATAATGACGTAACACGTGGAACCGAAAATTGCGTTTCGACCGGTCTGGACCGGGCTGCAAACGTGACATTGGATTGAAGAGGACCACTTGACTCATAGAACGAGCGCACGCTACTCGAGACGATTTCTCGTGAATTTGACTTTTAAAATTGGGCGCTGCGTCACTGGTAATGAAGGAGGTATTGTGTAATGACTTTTGATGGTCGGATAAAAGATTCTCTGATACGAAATTGTTCGTGAGATTCGGTAAGCGTTGCGTGGAATTTGTGAAGTTAGCGGAGCAAGTAGATTTGGATCAAATTGACTCAATTGATTTGGTAATTAACGGGTAATTAGTCCTCTGTTAAAAGAAAGAAAAAAGGAGTTACAATGTGTGAGTAAAAAAATGTACATTTACAGAGGTGAGTATAAAAAAATGAAACTCTGTTCGTGTAATTAACACGGCTTAATATTGTCTTTATTAAACTCTGCAATATAATTTTAACATTGCATTGAAATTATACGAAATATTGTCGTGAAAAGTACAATTGGTTTCCATTAAAGAAAAATCGTACAAATTTTGTTCCCTTTTGTAAAGATTATTAATGTTTATTAAACATTCAGCCCGAATTAAATTGCATTTCAGCTCGAATGATATGAAATGAATTTGCGACAATTTCCCTGCAAGGATTAATAGTGTTTATTGTGTTCGTA